CCCTAAACCACAGTCAAGGGGTCTATAAAAAAGAGGGTTGTCTCATAAGACAAAGAGGTTTTTTTGGATTTTAAAAAGAGAGGTAAGATTTTCAAGAGAAGAGATAAAGAGTTTTGTTGAGCAGAAAAAACAATATTCTCTGCAACCTTGACTTATTTTTAGAACCAAAACTGATCTTGTTCAAAACAGAAACCCAACTCATTACTCTACCATACAAACTCTCCTTTAAACCAAACAACTCATCACATACAAAGGTGATCCAAAACATCATAAAAAACAGTTCCTGTGTTGCTATTCATCTCCATCTTCAAAACACCAAAAACATTACAGTACAGTCCAACTTAGTTTCAACAGTCCGGAGTAGCTTTCCGGAGATTCATTGAGGTATTCATCACATTTGGAAAAACATTCAGATTTAAAACAGACAGTGCAGTCCAGAGGTAAGTCTTCTTGATTTGATATCTCTCCATACATCATTAATGATTTGTTTATTTTGAAGACAAGATGTAGTACTTTAATATCTTTTTGAACTAGTCATCTGCACTTTGTTTAGGCTTATTTAATCATTTGTTGTTCATGTTTATCCATCATATGCCATAAGCTAACCTATACATTCAGTAAAATAATGTTTAAGGCAGGAAAATGCAGCATGTATCGACACGTATCCTCATGTGTCGACTCATCCTAGTGAAAAAACAGGGTATGAGTCGACACATAACCCCCATGCATCGACTCATACTGATTTCAGGTTACAAAACAGAAGTTGGAAAAGACTATGAGTCGACACATACGCGTTTCGCGTCGATGCAAGAAGGTGCATGAGTCGACACATCCCATTATGTGTCGACTCATACTGAGCAGATTTTGTTTTACAGGAGCAAGGAAAAGCTATGTGTCAATGCATAGCAGAATGGGTCGACACATAGCAGTTCAAAGTGCAGTTTTCCTTATTTTACACTGTTTTTACATTGTTTTCATTATCATTCGATATGGTTGTAATATTTCAGTCTCCACTTCATCCCCATTGTAAATTTGTACCCCCATCTCCCTAAAGTGATGTAATAGCTTAGGATTTATTTTTCGCATGTTTACTTGCTTTCATATATTGCTAGTAATTAGGATGTATGGCAAGGTAAAATCAGCAAATAGATAACCTTTCAAATACAAGACAAAATGCATGCAAACTAACACACTTGCACACTAGCATCTCTAAGGTAATCTCATTTTGTTGCCTTTCGGAAAATAGTCATGTCCCTCGAATATGGGATGTTTTAGCAAAAACCCTTCGATAAAAAAGGATCGTAGTCCCTCGATGACCCTCGATGTTGCCTTCGGTAAACGATCTAGTCCCTAAACGATATTGTTAAAACGTCTCATAAGTTGCCTTCTATGACTATCCAAACGTCCCACACCCGTCCCTTCACATCCAACGATAGGGATTCTTACCAAAACAATGGTAAGATAGCAATATCTAAAGGAGGAGGAAAAGCACATCTAAGACCTTTTGAGTAGGTAGATTCCCTCTCAGTTACTCGCTTGCTCACAACAAAAACATTTTATACACCAACACTCTCATTTCGAAACACTTTTGAAAACAACACTTTGTACGCGTTCTTATAGAAACGAGAGTCGTTACAAAGAAAACCCTTTTCAAAATCACTTTCAAATACACATCTCACAAACACTTTCTTGAAAAAATTTTCGAAACAAACACTTCGTATGCATTCTTATAGAAACGAGAATCATTACAAAGTTATATTTTCAAAATTATTTCAAAACCCACACCACAAGCACACATTCAAACAAAAGCAAGTGATCTAGCGAGCAACTAAGAGCCCATGGAAAACCATGGATGAAAAGGGTGCTAACACCTTCCCTTTTCATAATCTACCCCCCGAACTTAAGAAAACGTCTCTAAAGGTCTTTTCTGTGCTTTTTCACCTTTCCTTTTTGGATAAAAGAAAAGTCGGTGGCGACTCTTGCTAAACCGCAACATTTGCGAACACAAACGCAAAAACCTCAAGTCAGTTCTCCCACCGTATCACAACGGCATTAACAGAGGGTCAGTGATCCTTCTTGGTATGGTCCCTTGCCTCATACACATCATTTTTTTTCCTTCTTTCCAGTGAAAGGCTTCTTCATTGTGTTGGATGCGGAAGCAGATGTCATGGGAATTTTTCCGCTCTTAATGCCACTTTCGACCATTTCACTAGTTAGGATCAACTCGGTGAGACCAGACAAAGAACTGCCAATCAATAGGTTGAAAATGGGCCAGTTAATGTACCCATGAACATGTCAACTAGTTCTCTGTCAGTTAGCGGTGGTTGGACCCTACCAGTAAGATCCCTCCATTTGTGTGCATACTTCTTAAACCCCTCATTAGTATCCATTGTCATACCTTGAAGTTGGACTCTGGTTGGTGCCCGATCGACATTGTATTGATATTGATGATAAAAAGAAGTGGCTAGATCTTCCCATGTGTGGATGCGGGAACCTTCCAATTGATAGAACCATTCTAGTTGAGTCCCAGCCAGTCTCTTTTGGAAGAAATGGACCCAGAGCTTTTTGTCGGTAGTGTGCGACTGTATCTTATGCATGTAAGACCTTAGATGAAGTTTCGGGCAGGAAAATCCATCATACTTGGTGAAGACCGGTATTTTGAACTTATGGGGAATGATGACCCCAGGTACTAAGCCCAAATCACCAAAGTCTAAACCAGGTACGACTTGAATTTCAACAGCTTTCAGTCTATCCTCTAACTGCTTGTATTTATCCTCTACAGGTGGGTATTGTTCATCAAAGTAGTCTTCATCTTCAGAAGCTTGACCATTTGCACCCCAACACGAGTACTCCTTGCCTCTTCGTCTTGATTTTTGTCCTCCTCAGACAACTCTTCGACTATCTGTACTTGATGAACCACACCTTTAAATCTCTTACCCATGTGGATGAAGGCCTTCTTTTTGGTTTTCTTATTGGCTACTAGCATAGTCATCAGCTCTTGTTGCCCCTTAACTAGGGTCAGCAAGGTCTCTTGGAAATGGGAATTCTGCGCTTGCAAGTCCTTCATTGTTTGTTCAATATCTATCTTACTAAAATAAATAGTAGAAAGATAAGGAAACCTATTGTGGAAAACATGTTTATGCTATGATGCATGAAAATGCGTATGCAAATGATTTCAAGGACTTAGAAGATTTAAATTTGTTTAGACAAAAGGAACAAACATCAATTGTATTAATAAGTTCAAATTGATTACAAACATGCCTCTTGGGCTTACAATGGAGGAAATAAACACAAAATAAACTCCGAAGACAAATAGGTCGAGCGCATCCTCTTCGGCGCAATATAGGCGTTCAAACATCGCTCTTCATGAAGTTGTCCCGTAAGCTCCAAAACCTTCTTTTCACTTGTGGAAAACTGGGTTTCTAAGGTGTCTCGCTCTTATTTTAGTTGAATCCAAGCTCTTTGCAGATCTTCAATAGAAGTAGGCATGTTAGGATAAAGGACAATATACATAACATCTCCTTCGACAAAAGGCTCCATGATGATAGGTAAGATGGCTTCATAAGGCATCATAAGGTTTTGGGTGTGAGTTAGTGTCATACCCTAATTTTTGACCTAAGATCCCGCATTCCATCCGCATCATTACATGGCAAGAGTTCACAAGCAATTCGACCTATTTTTGCCAATTCCCGAGTCAGATTTCAAAAATTCATAACTTCTTCAAGTTTCAATATTTTGAGGGGTTATTTTTTGCATATGATTTTTCTTGACACCATCTACAATTTTTCTTTACAAGACAAGAGATGATTATGCATTGAAAAGCCACGAAAAAGTTATTAACGTTCGAAGTTGTTTCACGAATTTAATGGAATTTGATTCTTAATTTTGGACTATGTTTTATCCGACCATAAATTTTACACTTTCTCTTCTTTTATTTTTAATTCCATGAAAAATCCTAAAAAAAATATATTTAGTTCATGTCATCTTAATTTTATTTACATTATTATTCAAAATATCAAAAAAAAGTAGTCTCTTCAAGTTTAATTTAGATTTTTATTCTTAAGTCAAAATTATAGTCTTCTAGATTTAATTTAGTAAAAATCTAAAAAAAACATATCTTAGCATTATTTTATTTTAGCATTTCACTTTAATCACAAAAAATATATAGTTAATATCTTTTCCTTTTAATTCTTTTAGTTATTATAATTTTCATTTCTTTCTTTCAATATTAATCTTGATTTGGTTCTAATTTTAATTCAACTTTTTAGTTGAGTTATTATTAAAATTAAAATTAATTTTAATTTCTCTTTAATTTTCATGTTTTGGAAATTTTTAGTTTAATATTTTTATTTTTATTTCTTGTTATTATTATTGTTATTATTATTATTATGCTATTCCTCTCCTTGTAAAAAATGTCCAAACAATAAAATCAGTCCAAAACCTTGCTATTGTCCCTATCCTAACTGTCCATAAAATCCAAACATGCTACACAACAAAACTTGCATAATGCTCCAAGCATATCAGTCCTGCAAAATAGTTTAAAAATATGTTAAAAAGCCAGCTGCTACTGCTACCCACAACACTCCAAAATTTGTCCAAAAGCAGTTCGAATTACATTAAAATGGCAATACAAATCTGCAGCAAAAAGGTGTTAAAACAATGCATCACAAAGAATCCAAATCCATCTCATTTTCCCCCCCAAAATTTCATTATGTTCTCTATATAGACTTAGACTTGGTTAACAAAAAGGAGGGGAAGAGATATACCAACAACACCGAAAATCTCAAGGGGAAAACAAAAAAACAAAACACACCTTTTCAGAATCCACTGCATTAATCCACAACTTAGCTCACTCCAAAACCGGTGGTACAAGAGAATGTAGATGTGACTGTGGAACCCTCTTCACAAGGAGGGACAGTTTCATAACTCACAGAGCCTTCTGTGATGCATTAGCAGAAGAGAGTTCAAGAAGTGTAATTCATCAACCAAGCTCTCACAACATGATCAATCACCAAACTCAAGAAATACAAGGTTTCACATTAAAGAAAGAGCATCAAAGTTTCAGTTTTCTAAAGCCAGAAATTCAAACACCATCATGGCTTGAATTAGAACAAGATCTAAACCTTCATCACACCCCTTCCGTCTCCACTAGCCACAACTTATCCAACCGTCATCTCGCCATTATAGTTCTGCCTCCTTCCTCTTAAACATTCCAGTGCCAAACACCCTTCACTCCATTTGGCTCTCACGAACCAGCAAACCCATTTTCCTCTTCATATTCCTCTTCGTCAATTTTCCGACCTTCTCACTCTTTCCGCTCCACCTACTACACACCCAACCTTCCTCACTACTATCAAACTTCAGCGACATCACCGAACACCACCCGCCTGTCTTGTTCCAAACCTGCTCCACCTACAACTCACAATCATTCACTCATCCAAACACTCCCTCTATTTCCTTTCACTCCATTTCATCGCTGGGAGAGCTTCCTCCGCCAATCGCTACAAACCTTGTCACTCCATTTAATAAAATAGAAAATAAACATTATCTCCGAAGAAAACAACAAAGCTTTCAGCATTTATGGTACTACCATCATAGAAACATCCGTTTCTTTCAATTTGCTTTCCAAAGACGTTGATGTTTCTGCCAAAGAGGTGAATCGTCGATTATCGTTGATCTCCAATGTTGACTCTTCTTGTGCCGTTGATGGACTGCGTTTGGGTTTGCACAAGGTGGTTCGTGTTTCGCCCAAGACCAATTCTTCTTCCACTGCTGTGGTTTGTGGTGCTTTCCGATCTATATTCGCTGCTATTGCTCTTGATACTGGCGATTTGGATACTGCTGGTAATGTTCTCTTGACTGTTCATGGTCGTGATCTGGGCTTTTCTATGGATATGTGAAATGTAGGTACAACTTTCAGTGTTTGTGTTTCATTTTTGAAGATACTTCTTAATGGCTTATGGTAATTTGGCCAATGAAAAAAAGAAATAAAAACAACTACTGGCAGCATGCGCCGCCCCAAGGTGTGGTGCGTTTGTTTTTTTAGTTTAATTTCATTATTTATTATTAGAAATTAGGGTTAGTGTCTTTATGTTGAGTTTGGGCCTAAAGGGTCGATAACATGCTTATACACCCCTTTCTATTTCCTTATAATTCTAGATATTTAGAATAATGCAATTAAATTCCTTTTAATTAGTTATAAAAAAATAAAAATATATATTAGTAAATCTTATAATTAATTTAGTTTAATATTAATTTAGAATTCTTTAATTAGTTTAGATTTATTTTATAACCTTAGAATTTTATTTTATTTAAGTTAACTTTAGAATTTTATTTGTTTAGTTTTAGTTTAATAACTTTAGAATTTTATTTGATTTTATTTAAGTTAACTTTAGAATTTTATTTGTTTAGTTTTAGTTTAGTGACTTTAGAATTTTTATTTGATTTAGAATTAGTTTAATAAATTTATAATTTTTATTTGATTTAGAATTAGTTTAATAAGTTTATAATTTTTATTTAGAGTTTTTATTTGATTTAAATTTAGTTTAGTAGTTTTAGAATTTTATTTGATTTAGATTTAGCTTAGTAACTTTTAAATTTTCATTTGTTTTAGATTTAATTTAGTAACCTTAGGATTTTAATTTAATCTAGATTTAACTTACTAAATTTTAAAGCCTTAGTTTAGCTTAGATCAAATTCAATAATACTAGATTTTTTTTATATAACCTTAGAATTTGTAATTAGTTTAGAATTATTTTAGTAAGTAATTTTTTAATTTAGTTCGAATAACTTCTTTAGATAATTAGTTATATTCCTTTTTATTTGTATATTTCTGTCATTTCAATTTCTCGGTGCCTCTTGATCATTAATTTGTTTTTGTCAGATCTATTTTCTTGTGAACTTCTGAATGTTTATATTTTGATGTTCATTTTATTTTTCTTATTCCAAGGGAAATGTTTCAACTCAGTTGACTTCACGTCATCAAATACATCTCATCCGATCGTGCGAATACCCTTTTTCATTTTTTTTGTTTGTTTACTATTTTGCTAAACTCAAGATAATTTTCCCAAAAGACTCCATTTTCAAACTCACGCCTTTTAAGTCAAAACTTCGACACGAGGTCGTCGTATCTTCAAAATCTCATCCATACCCATTTTGACCAAATAAACCATTTTAATCAAACAAACAATTTTAACCAAAAACATATATTTCAAAAGGTTCCTGCGGAGTACCGCAGATGCATTGGGTGCTAATACCTTTCCATTGCATAACCAACCCCCGAACTCTCGATCTCTTTCAAAAAAACGCATTGTATTTTTTATTACTTTTAAATATCATTTCACATTTCATATTTTAGGGTTTTATTTCGCACTTTTCCCTTTTCCCTTGGAAATAATAAAGCGCGGTGGCGACTCTTGCTTTTTGTGAGTCAAGTTAATTAATAGCTTGATCTCCGATTTTCACCGCTACAGAATTGGCGACTCTGCTGGGGATGAGATTGACCTCTTGCTGGTCCATCCCTAAGTGGGTTAAGCCTAATTTGTTTTATCTGTTTTATCATTATTTGATTGTTTGATTATATGTATATATTATGATTATTTGGGTGTTGATAATATTTACAAAGGATAAGTCCTATACCCAGACTAAGTTACACTTAGGAATAGGACGGGCAGTATAGTCATGTTAACTTTGAGGGAGTAATCCCGAAGAAGAAGGCGTGAGATCCCCCACTCAGTGGAAGGCCCCTTGAACGTAATATTTGTTTACCGAGTAATCGGGAAGACATTATTATTTTCGACCTAGGAGCCAGAGAAACTGGGAACCATAGAACCCTAACCCATCTTGGCCTTTTAGGTGTAGCGCGGAGATTATAACGGAGTAATCCGGAAGTAATTGTTACGCGATGCTACGCTCGGATGAGTTTCTCTTGAGAATATTACTGATTATTGAGTAATCAAGACGTTGGTAATATCCGAAGGAGGAATGTACACGTCGGGAACTCTTAGAACCTTGTTCTACAGGTGTGATTAAACCGTTAGTACATACCTTGGGGGTGTTCCTTACCTTGACTCCATGCTCGTGACGTTGAACCTTTCGACTTTATATGTGACCTTGCTTGTGGTTTTTGCATAGCCATGCATTCATGCATCCATTAAACCTTTTTCACTTGACTTTGAAGGAATTTGGAGGTCTTTCTTTGTAAACATCACAAGTTTCGTCAAGCTCAATGGATCTTGGGTGTTGATAGGGCGAAAACCCTAATCCACCAAAATGGATGATTGATCTTGACGATAACTTGATCAATGTTTGGAGCTCATCTTCTATCTTCATACTTTGATGTTTACAACTTAATATTTTAAGTTCCTTGAAAATCAAATAAAAACTCTCTTTTGCATATCATACATCATTCTACATTTTTTGTTTCACTTTCAAAGGTCTTTTTCCAAGTCTTATTTTTCCTTTGGTCTCACTAGTACAACACTCGGGCTAAGAGGACAATGGAGAACATCAAGCAAGAGATTTCTGAACTCCACAGAGAGATGACTAATTTGAAAGCTAGTGTAGAGCACTTAACTGGTTTGGTTGAAATTTTGGTTGCCTCCCGAGTCAATCCTTCTAAGAAAGAAGAAGTGATGGAAAAGGTCTTCACTGAAACTCTAAAATCATTCTCTCATGAGAAGGTGATGGTTAATTCACCTAATGACTTTCCTGACAAGGTGAATGTGGGAGTGCGTCTAGAAGAAGATGTTAGGAAGGGATGTTCATATGAAGATGGTAGCTCAACTAATGGTGTGAAGAAGTTTGATAATAACTTTTCCAAGAAGAGAACCAGTGGAAGAAATAATCATCGTCAGAATCATCATGTTTCTCCCATTTATCAACAGAATCAGCAAGTTCCTAATCAAAGGAAAACCCAGTTTGATCCAATTCCAATTACCTATACAGAGTTGTTCCCTATCCCGATGCAGAGGAATTTGGTTCAGACCCGACCTCCACCGAAAGTTCCTGAGAAGATACATTGGTACTACAAAGCTGATTTGGCCTGTACTTTTCATCAAGGTGCTCCTGGGCATGACTTGGAGGGTTGCTTTGCTTTTAAGATTGAGGTTCAGAAGTTGGTCAGAAGTGGTATCTTGTCATTCAAGGACGTTGGTTTTGAAGTTCAAATCAAGCATGCGCCGAAGAGTAAACACGATTGATGGTCACTTTGAGTTTTAAAGGATGTTTTCGGTGATTCAAGTCCAGATGGAAAGCCTTCCCAGATCATTAACTTATTTCTGCTTTTTGTAATTTTTCTTGTTTATCAAAACATTGTTTGCATGTAAGAACTTGTTTGCATCTGTATGATTATCTTAATACAATGAGTATGTTTGTCTTGAAGAAATTCATTCGTTTCACTCATATTTGTTTTAAAATTTTAAATTTCTTTTTGCATTATGATACCAACTTGTTGCCCGTTCTCTTGCCTAGGCAGAGATTGAGGGGAGGATGATGATCTAAAGAACACAAAATCCCTGGTTGCATGCTTTTGGATAAAATCTTGCTGATGATGTACATGCATTGTTTCAAATCCCTAAACACTGGAGATATAAGGAAGATAATCCCTTGCTAACCCCTTTTGAGCATTTGAAGCAGAAGTTTCTTTTTCTATACGAAAAAACCTTGAATTTTAACCTGGGGCAGGGTAGTTTTTAGTTAATCTGACTGAGTGTTCATAATTCATAAGGAAGATGTTTTTTTGAAGAGAAACTACGAGGGTTATCCTTCATGTATAATGAATCTAGAGGATGTGGAACCACAATGTTATCCCTCATTCATCAAGAAACGAGGCAATCACAATCCTCTCAACAAGCAAAGACAAGCTAATGTCACACATTTTGTTCAAAAAGTCAAAAATCGAGAAAAAGAAAAAGCCTGCTAAGTCAAAAAACATGAAAACGTGTGACTTAGGCAAAAATTAAGGCATCCCGCTGGACTATCAATTCAAAAGAATTAGTTCAGGCAAAAAGTTAGGGAAAATAAAAATTGCAAAGAAAGGACTACAAAGAAAAGTCCTCAGCAAAGAACAAATTGGTGACTACAAACACGAAGACATGAGGTTGGTTTCTACTCCGAAAGCCTCGTCGTTTCCTTGACCGTCACAAAATCCTTTTGAGAGATGAATGCTCATGTTGAATTAACTGAACATAGGGTTGGAGAACATCATGAAGGGGGTGGGCACCAAATATTTTGAGCCTTAAAATCTTTTTTTCTAAAAACCATGAACCAGACCACATTACAACCTTCAAAAGTCCTAATTGAAGCAAGATTATTTTGAAAGCATACTTCAATGAGATAGTGTTCTTGACTCTCATGAATGTTCTAAATAGTTATGTTGGTATCATATGTTTTTCCTATACAAAAATAAATGGTGCTTTAACTCGCAAAATTTGTGCGATATCTTTTCAAAATCTTCAAGACTTACATAACTGTTGCATTAGAATTTTCATTCCTCATAATAGACTTGTTCTAACTGCAAAACATTTGTTTGATATCAAGGAAGCTCACATATAAGCACCAGTGATGAGTTCGTTCTTTTAAGGCCTGAAACTATGTTGAGTAATGGGCTAATCATTTCAAGAAAAATCATATCCAGGGGCATGTCACCTAAAGACCTTGAACATGGACATGTTGCTTCTCCCAGTTAATGCTTTCCCAACTTGTTTACTCTTTTGGGGAAAAAATTTGAAGACCTCGTTGTGCCAACTACAGTCAATCCGGGGCAATCACGTCGAGATTTGACGAATCTCTCTAAGAGTTTGAAGACACCAGAGCATGGTGAATGCCAGGTCTTTTGTAAAATCCTCTTGAGACGATTTCTCCCCATCAACCATATAGCTTGGGGCATTTTAGAAGTGAA